GTGACTATTACAAAATGATCCTATAAATTATGTGTCCTATATTATTAAATTGTTTCCCTTACCAACCCTGACTGCCACAGTATAAAGTGAAGAGTAAGGCCTATAGAGTCTAGGAAGTAGGTGGGAGATAAAAGAGTTAGAGATCTGAGGCAGGGACTAACGTGACAGTGTATGTTAGGAACATCCATAGCCTGAGGAAGAGCAGAGAGACCCGGATGCGGACGGCAGGAAGATGTGTGTGAGTGATGAAGAAGGCAAGAGGGAGTCAGTCTAGGGAGGCAGGAGAAGCCTCGCAGTGCCCAGGGCTTCTCTCGTGCAAAGGCCGCGCCATTGGAGGACGGAGAGCAGCGGAGTGATATTTCAAAATGCTCGGCCTGGCTAATGTGCCCGCAGGGGTCCGGAGCTTGGGTTTCTGTGTGCAGGCTCCCGCTTACCTTCGGCCCACTACAGGCTTCCTCTCTGGCTTGTTCTGTGCGGTGAACCCCACAGAGATGCTCCGGAGCGTCTCGCTGGCTGCCCTGCCTCCTGTGTCCTGTGTCTCTCGTCTGACCTCAGCACGTTTCCCTCATCTTTCTCTGTCAGCCATCGATAGCCACTCCCACTGTGGCTACTTTTTCGGTGAAATCAGAAGCAAAACTTCAGCTGGGAATAAGAGTGGGAATGTTGGTGGGAGGAGAGAAAAGATTGGTTGACTCTGAGAGCAGATGAGTAAATTCGTGAGGGCTTTTGCCTTTGTTGCATGAGGTAAAAAGATATGAGGTAGCGATCAGTCACTGTGTGCAGGACTATGGCCATAGAAAGCTGAACACATACTCCTCCCCCGAGAAGCATAGCTGTGTTGGAGGAGCAACCGGTACTGCATGAGGTAAGCAGTTGCATTTTATTCAGTTAACCATTTAACCATTCGCAACAACTCACTGATGTTTATTATAAATCAGAAGATCAGGGTCTGGGGATTTAGCTCAGCAGCACAGCGCCTGCCTGGCAAGCACAAGGTCTTGAGTTCGATTCCTGGTACCGGAAGAAAAACAAAATAACAACAAAAAAAAAAACAAAACAAGAAGATCAGCTCACAGACCCAACCAGAGGGCCCTGGTGGAGGGGCGGGTCTCACAGAGCTGTGCACAAGCAGCAGGTGAGCACCGTGGGTGCTGCCGCGCAGCTTGTCTGAGGGAACACGTGTGTGGTCAAGACCAGCGCAGACAGCGGAGCCCAGGTATATCACAGGGCCGGCAGGTGACACGAGTGATAGAGCGAGCGAAGAACTGAAAACACGACACAATTCAGAGATGAGAGTGCTACTGGGGTTTTGTGTAGTTAGGTTAGGCCGATAAAGGAAGGGAGACTCGCAGGGTTGGAAATATGTGCAAAGAACAGCAAAGGAGGAGGAGATTTTAGCCTGGGAAAAGCACATTCAGCAGAGGCAGGAATGTTCATGGCACATGTGGAGGTGTTCAGGAGAAATACATGTGTGAGTAGTCATAATCATGAGCACCGCACGTGTCATAGGCCGCCTTGTCCTTCGGCAGAGGTGTGGAGAGAAAGAACTGGAGTGGTCAGCTTATGCTGCAGAGGACCTTGCTTTGATATTCAGGCGTCTTTGATGAACATGAATGCAGACCTTTCCCCTTTGTCTGTTTCTGCCTCATGCAGCTTGAACGGATTGTTGAAACCTGCTCAGCTGCTTCAGGGACTGCAGATACTCTGGGTCCGACTCGTGTGCCCCAGGAGGGAAGCTAGGTGGCACTGCATTACTGCCCAGCCACTGCTCTGTCAGGGCCCAAGGCACCTTTGGTTTCCAATAAAAGTTGATAGCAACAAACCATTCTGTGGAAGTAGATGACCTGGAAGCATTCCAGAGAAAAGGAATGTGTGTATGTGTGTGTGTGTGTGTGTGTGTGTGTGTGTGTATTTTGCAAATTTTTATGTAATAAGTCACTGTTATTTGGCTCCAAATTAGTGAATAGATCTGCCTGAGCTCTGCTGTCAAGGACATAGTTCTATTTGAAGATGAAGATCTCTTTGTCTTTTGCTATTTGAGAGGCTCCTTATTGTTAAGTAAAGTATCGAAGTAATTAAATACGTGTCACATTCTCTTCCTACGCTCCAATAAGGGGGAAATGGCCACTTTGTTCTTCAGTTAGGTTCCTGAGAGAGAGAGAAATGAAACTGCTCACATTTCCCCACGCACTTGGTCTTAGAATTAGGAGGACTGATTACAGCTAAGTAAGTGTTTATCTGGGTAAACTGCTGCTGTTGTGATTCCCTCAAAGCTTTTCTGCATGGAGAAAGTAGCATTAAGAAGTGGATTAATTTAGTGGCATCCTGTGCCAAATATAGCCAAGCAGCAGAGTTTTAAAAGAAGGAAAAATGCTTCCACAACAGAGTGAGCTGGGGATGGTGTCTAGACATCCTCTGCTGATGGAGTGCACGTCTAACACAAAAGTTTACTCTTGTAGAAGTTACGTGTGGGGGAGAATACAAAATAGGTTTATCTAACAAGGAGCCTTTTGCGGAGGCTTTGCACTATACATTGAGACTTTGCCCCCTCTTACTGTTTTTCCTCTTGACCTCTGGTTGTTTTACAAAAGGAGTAAAATCAAACAAAGCATTTAGCCACAGTGTTACTTAAAGCATCACTTTTAGCATCCTTCCTTGCAGGAAATGAAGGTGCTGTGTGTCCAGGGGCCACGGGTGAGTTTTTTTGAGGGAAGGCAGGTGGGCCCAGTAGAAGCCAACTGAAGTGGAATGTAAAGTTCCAAAGATCCCACAAGGTGGAGAGAACTGGGAACTCCTATGCTAATCTTTGAAGTGCTGTGGGAAGTGGAGGAGTTTGGGAAGTCACATCCAACCCGGACACCAGGCAGGACAAGATTGTAAATAGATAAATAGAGCTAAGAGCCTCCTGGTAATTGATACAAATGGAAGCAGGAACAGATGACCAAGAAGTGCAAGACTGGCTTAAAACACAGGGTAGACCAGTTGTCTCCTGTGCTTTTTCCTGGCTGCACATTGATGTATATGTTTTACACAGTGGCAATTGTCACTCATTTTCACTAAACCTTCATTCCTTTCTGTGTGACAGTGAAAGAGTGATTACAACCAACACTGTTAGGTTGCTGGAACCATACTTGTACTACCCTCCTGTGTAGTGGTATTGTTTTCTGTTTCCAGAATGGTGTTCTATTTCAGCCCTACCACTATGAGTAAGGGGGAACTCGTCCTGACCAAAAGTAAGAATGAAAGGGACCATTTAACACTCAGTAGGATGTCAACACACACTAAAAAATTAGTTAATGAAATAAACACGGTAGGCAAATACTCTCTAAGTTTTTTTTACCAATCTCACTTTTTTTCCTTTGTAGTGAAATATTTTAGTTTAGCGCTTTCAGTAGTTGGTAGATCAGTAAGACCAAAATCCAGTGATTGCAGAGAGCTAAACAACCTAACATTACCCAGTTGAAATGAACAAAACACTGTGTCAAATAATGTAAAATTTCATCTTTACGATATGTGTATAAGTCATCCACCACATCTGACTTTATGGGGCACCAAATATTTTGAAAGATTAGCTGTAAATATTTAGAATATGCTTGATAATGTGCATGGAAGTATATTGGAAGTAAACAAAAATAATTAGCAAAACAATCTGCACAAAAATTAAACTTTTAAAATTTGATCAGATAAAGCTATGAAAAAGAAATTTTAAAATTTGTGCTAGCAGACAAATGTGAAGATATGTTCTATCAGAATGCATGAGAAGCAGCTGAAGCATATATGTGAAAAAGAGCAGTGAATGTATACATCAGAAAAGGGGGTTGACAGCCAACAATCCAAAATTCTATCTAAAAAAGGACCAATTAAATGTAATAAAAGTAGACCGAGAGTAATAAACACAAGAGTGACAGTCAATTACAATAAAATATAAAATGGTGAAAATAAATAAAGTTAAAAAACTAGAAATTTTTTTTTTTTTTTTTTTTTTTTTTTTTTTTTTTGGTTTTTCTCCGGTACCAGGAACTGAACTCACGACCTTGCGCTCGCCAGGCAGGCGCTTTGCCACTGAGCTAAATCCCCAGCCCCTAAAACTAGAAATATTAATCAAGCTGTAACATTCTACTGAGGCTACTGACTTGACCCTGACCCACACACTTCCTTATTAACTCAATAATTACCAGAAAAGTAAAAGTGAAGAATCACTTTTAAAAAGCCTTTGAGGAGCTATGGATAAAGTGGAAGCTAAAAATTCTAAACTGTACAGCGGTGAGCCTTTCCTGAGTGAGTGAGGGGGTAGAAGTTATTTTCAGGCCTGGAGTCAGTTTCTGAAATGGAGATAGTGTAGGCAAGGGATAGAACCAGCTGGAGAGCAGTTTTTTGATCAAGAAATAAAGCAACTAAATCTTTGTAAACCAGAAGGCTGACATGTGTGATTTGAATCTGGAAGCTACCCAAACAAGCATATAATTCTCTTAGGTAGGCATTTTGCTGACTAAGAGAGAATGCTTCCGCCAAAAAAAACAGACTGAAGGATACTGTCCATGCTCAGAGATCTTGAACTTGTGACCCGATAACCTCACTGCGTAACTTCTGCTGATCTTGACATCTTACTAACCCTCAGCGTTATCATGGGCCTAGCCATAAAAGTGAAAACCCCATAGTTTACAAGCACCAAAATATATGGAAACATAGAAGGATTTGTTCTAACTATTGTTTATTTCTTATCTCACATAGTCATGAAAGTCAGAGATCTGAACCAGCCTGTAAGCCTTATGCTATATGACCAAATCATCATCATAATTCATAATAGTAGTAACAAATAGTTCAAAAACAACTGTTATGTGCTTGTGTCTTTATTAAGCTCTTTATACATTTTAATCGAATCATCATACTAATTCTATGAAGCTGTCAATTTAGTAAGATTCAATCCAGGAGGGATTATTGGACTCTTCTGAATGTCATTAAATTATTCTTAATCTAAAGTGTCCCTTTCAGATCTACTCTGAAGAGAGCGTACAAAGGACCTGCGTTCTGCCCTAATGCTTCTGTTTCCCACACAAAAAGCTGATTGGAAACTTGAGAAGAGCATTTTTATTCCTTGATTTCCAATGCAGACATCTTGTTACAAGCCTGGGATTTATTACCCACCAAAGCAACTGTGCTGAAAAATGCATCGCATTCTATTGGACAGGAAAGAAGGTTTGTTCTGTTTTTTAAAACATTTACCACTGTGCATTTCATCAAAGCAACCATTAAGCAACTTTCTCTCTTTCAGCAGGCCAAATATAGGCAATGCCTTGGCAGAAACTTTCTATCTTGTTGGAAGCTTGGATCGCGACTGTAAATTTCCCTCTTGTCATTGTCCCAGGAAACAAAGGATGTTTTAAAGCCATCCAGTTCCCTTGTGTTCTCTAGAAATAAGGGCAATGCCAGCATCTCAGTTATTAGGGTTACAACAGTTTCCTCATTCAGCATGACCCTGGCTTCCCATTTCTATAACCCAGGACGGTTTGTTCTCTTTCCCTTTGGCAGAAGCCCTTCAAGGTTGCTGTCAGTGAGCTTTGTCAGATGTCCATATCTTTTCTAGGTTTGCTGTTTTTTGTATTTACTTCCTACATGAATATCATGAGCTGGAGACGAGCTGAAAATGTTCAGCCTCTGCAGGATGTCCCTGAGCAGTCAGCTTTGTGTCCTGGGTCTGCACCCCAGCCTTCCTGGTCGTTAGTTCTGGGATCATGAAGAGTCATTGGATCAGGAAGGCTAGATAAAATATTACAGTCTCACAATTAACAGAAACAGCTGACACTGATTGAGTGTATTGGCAGGGGCTTTGCATTCTCCTGCAATCCTTTTTTCTTTTCCTTTAATTGTGTTGGTATGTTTTAGATATACATAGTGATCACATTCGTCACAGGGGATTTGTGCCTGTACATGGTATGTCTCGCTTCCTTTTTTTTTTTTTGCTCCCTTCCTCCCTTCCCTTCAGCACCTCTTCTCTTTATTAAAGAAGCTTTGTTTCCATTTTCCCTTCTATTCTTTTTTCTTGTCCCTTCTCTCTCACCCCTTGTTCCTCTTCTCATTTTAACATTTTCTTCCCATTTCCCAAAATCTATTACACATTTACACTTTACATTTTTGGTTTCTCACACCAGAGAAACCGTGTGATATTTACACATGTCTGTCGATTTATTTCACTGAAGAGCATGGCTTCAAAGTGCATCCATTTATTTAGAAATGTTTCAACTTTATCCTTCTTTATGGCAGAGTAGCACTCCATTGTATAAAAAAAACCACATCTTCTTTGTCCATTCATTGGCTGATGGGCCTTTGGGCTGTTCTCAAGATTTAACTCTTACTAACTGCTCTCACTGAATCCTCTGACAGCATGACAAGAAGGCAGGAACTATTAATACCCATTTCATGGAAGAGCGGACTGAACTAGGAAAGGATTAGCTCAGTTAGTTGTTTAACATCACGTGCTCGAGGCCAGGGCTTCTGACTTCATCCGGTCTGTGGGATCCCCGGGCCAACAGCATCATCAGTACCAGGAAGCTTCTTAAAAATGCAAATCTTGGCTGTGCTGTAGAGTGACTGAGTGAACACACTTGGTGTGGGGGTGCAGGAGCTTGGCTTTAGCAAGCTCTCTGCGTGATACTTATGCTCAGGAGAAGCTGTAGCTTTGTTCTAGGACCTAAGGTGCCCATTCAAATACTGTGCTTTTCTACACTCGATAAAGTTTTCAGTGTTTGAAAAGTTGCCCAGTTGGCTCTGGGGGGCTCTGTGGCTGTCCCTCTGGGTTCTCACTCCTTTGTGCAGCCTTGTCTCTGCAAGTGCCCTTGACCCCAAGAACGGCCTGTGTCCTGAGAAAAAGCAGCTATGGTGAAGAGAAACACGCGTTCCTCTGTTTTGACAGCCAGTATCCTCTCCGGGCAGATGCATCACCCAACGCCATGCACAGTGAAGGTTTGTGGCTAGAACTCCATCTATTTATAATCCACAGAGCGCTCAAAGTACTGGAAAATATTTTGAAGATGAGAACTTTTGCCTGTTAAATGCACAAGTTTTCCCTCATTCCTGTCCAAGGGACTTAGACTTTTTCCCGTCCCGAGAGATTTCAAGACATTTAGTTATGCGAATTAAACAGCAAACACTGCATACTTCTTTTTCTCTTGGAAACAAGTCAAGTTCTGTTTATGACCCCCAGTGATAGCAGATGCTATAAATACAACAATTTGGAGTATTGCCAGGTTGTTATATAAACCTTTAAGGGCCTTTAAAAATTCTTCTAGAAAAAGTACACAAATGGAATTTTTCTTTTTTTTCACATGGCCTCATGCAGGACTCAATCCTAGTAGCCGTCAGTTGTCATATCATTAGTCTACCTCTTCAGTGAGTCTGAATTCCGCACACTTTGCGAACGTGATAGGAAGTGCTGCCCTTGTAGAATGTTAACAGAAGGATGAAACAAATTAGAAAGAAAATTTCAGCAATAAGCAGAAAATTGTGTTCATATTATACATACGGAAGTTAAAAAGTATTAGAAAAATTCAGAGAGTAAAACAGAATATAAGAGGAAAATAAAGATCATTCACATTTCTATTTAGCTCTAGCCACTAAAGTTTTGGCATGTATATCTTTCTAGAGTTTTTTAGTTTGTGTACATACACATACTTTAGATCTAAATTTTACTGTGACCAAGCCCTGCCTGCTTTGTAAAGTTTTTGAAATGGAATAGCTGTGGGCTGCACTTCGGGTCCACATATAGAGATGTGCACGGTTTTTCAAGGACTCTTATTACAGAGAAGAATTGCTGGAAATTACCATGTACTTCTCCTGTTTTTGGTTCAACGTATCAGGGATGCTGTGTCACCTGAGACACCATTCAGGGTCCCCTGTTCAGACCAGGGGACATCAACGGGCCAACATGTTTTGCTTCATGAGTAACCACTTCAAAATCCAATAAAGTATTAAAGGTGAAGTTCCCATGCTACTCATTCTATTGTCTATTTATTTTTAACTTACTAAGTCCTATGCAGTTTCACTTTGCAAAAGTTCATTTTTAAGTCATATTTTCTATGATTAATATTCCTTTCCCTTTCCAACACAGACATTCCAAAATAAAGTCTAACTTGTTTCTTTTGTTCTTTTTTCTTCAGGGAAATTCTGCCCCAAGGAAAACACTTTTAGGGAGATTCCAAGGATCAAACTCAGGCCATTTGAACCATGTATTCATTGTTTATATATCAGTGATGCTTAGGAACACAGTTTACTGTAAATTTTAAAAGGGCCTAGATTAAGGCTGTATCTCCACACAAATTGGTCTCAGAGGAAAGAGAGCTGAATTCCAAGAGACAGCTAATAATGCAGTAGTTATGAAGTAGGTGCAACTTTTTTGTAAAGCTGATTTTTTTAGTAAGGCTAAAACTAGATACTTTTCTTTGTGATAGGTTATTCTCTCTTTCAAACAGAAAAGCTTTACAAACCTAACATGCTTTGCCAAGGGATGTTTAGTCTAAAGATTTTCCACTTCAAGAACAGAATAATTTGTCTGGATCTGATGTGAGGCACTGACAATTCTCTACTTCGATAAAGTATACTAATCAAGAACAAGCTTCGCAGGCATCATAGAGGAAAATTGTCCCTTTCTGCTCAGGCGATGATACTCAGATAATAATTCACACTAGAGTGGAATATAAGGGAGAAGAACAAATGATTGAAAGTGCACTGATTTGTCCCTGATGGGTCGGATCAAAATTCTTCTACCGTCTCTCCCTGGACAGATCCATATGAAACACACATAGCTGGGCTTTTGAGTAAATTTTTTCTCTTTAGAAACAGAATCAAATATTTATCTTTTACACTAATTCTGAGCCAACCAAAGTCCACACAATCTGCTAAGAAAAATGAGTCAACTGGGTTATTAGGAACCTATGAGTTAAAATAGGTATTCAAGAGAACAACATGCTTTAAAATTTTCATTAAATCATTTATGTAGATGCTCCCTCCTCGACAAAATGAAATACACTTCCTCTTCATTAAATGTGAACCACAGCAGGAATTTCCTTCCAAACGGTGTGCTATGTAAGAGGGACATCAGCTTTACAGCAAAGGAGCTGCAAATGCCACTTCAGCTAGGTGGTCAAGTCAACATCAACGGCGATGAAACATGTCGATCTCATCCTTGGTACTGTGCAGAGAATGCTGCTTTATTCGAACTCTGAACTCCAATGTAGCCATGAAAAAGGCTGGCCAGACAACTAATCGAATGCTATTCTACAAAATATCCTACCATTGTTAGTAGCGGAGGGGATAGAAAGTTCAGCGGAGAAAACCACATCATGAACTGGACCACACGGCTGCTTCCCAGAGCAGGAAGGGGAGGACCTGAGAGAGGAGGCTGGGCAGGGCAATCTGGGGCCACTCCCCCAGCTGTTCTTCCCTGTGATAAAAAGTGTGTCCTTTCTGTTGGTCACGGAAAGCAATCACAGGCTTTCAAGGAAGGAAGGGGCATGATCTGGCCTTGCTCTGGAGAGATGACTACTACTGAGAAAGAAGATGGAGGCAGAAAGAGCACAATTGCGTGTCTTGCAGTTGAATTAAGAAGACAAGGGACAAAATGAAGGCAATGCAGTGGGCATGGGGAGAAAGGTGGTTGCAGGAAAAGTGAGCCTCCCTCTTCTATCTGGGAGTAACTCACTCAGTGGGTTGGTCCCAAGAACACAGGGACACTATGCCCAGCCCTGAAGATGGTGCACCAGCTTGAGGATGCATGCCCGCCGCGAATGGGCACCTGGAGTTGGGCAAGGGTCTACCTGCCTCTAGAGAGTATGTTCTGACTAGCGCTGAGATAGGTGCTGAGTGACTTGTCTACAGCAGAACACACCAGCTGCCGTCCACACGGGAGCTCCTTGCAGCCAGGGCCACGCCGCGGCAGCTGCTCCCTGGTCAGTGGAGTCATTCGGCATTTCTTCAGACTGGGAGAGAAAGAGATTAACAAGTGCGGGTTGGTAGACTTCTCTGCTGCTTCTCTTTAGTCCAGATCAACTCAGGAGCAGCCACGAATTTGACAGCCTCACTCAGCAAAGGGAAAGCCCCAAGCTCCTCCTCCTCCCTCAGCTCCTCAGAAGGCGGTTCAGCTGTCCTTGTCCTTCTTTCCCTGTTCACATCGTGGTGAAATTTCAGTAGGTGGTTTGGGCTCTGCTTGTAGACGGATGTACGGCGCAGCTGTCTGACCTGATCGCCGCTGGCTTGAGTGCTAAAGGGGAAGACAGACAGTAAATATATTTTGTAAATATTTCATTGGCATTAAAATGATTTTGTGACTTGAAATAAAGAATAGAGTCATCCCAGAATTCCCAGGCGAATCTTTTCACCATTGTTCTTCCTGTCAATTCTTCAAGCTGTTCACAGAGTAGCTCGGGGCCCCGGGGCGTCCTTGGAGAGGGAAGAACGAGCCAGGGGCAGCGCAGCTCCCCGGGTTCCTCTTCTTCGCGTCCTCGGTGCACCGCAGGGTAGGGGAGCAAGAGCCCCTGCAAAATAAAGATTTACACCAGCTGTACATTTTTGTTGAGAAGTAGACACGTTTTCACAAGACACATTCCCATAAAATACCGATAAACAGCCCCAGGAAGGAGGCGAGGCAAGCAGGGCGCTTGGTTTTGGTGCTACGCTAGGATGCGCAGGGTCCAAGAGAGGGCGGGTGGGGGCGGAGTGCGCTGCGCGGTGTCTTTCGGGAATGGGCTGGTTGGTATCCAGCTATTGACAGGTCAAGTGTGACTTCAGGGCCTACATACTTATTCTGGAGTATTCTCGTGGTCCCTTGTTACCTCTTTATAGCTAGCTGCTTTTTCTCCTTTTCCTCTCAGTCTGCAAGAAGAGCTAATCCAGATGGACCTCCATATGTGTCACAGATAGCCTAGCTCTGTGTGAACTGTAGCCACATTTACTCTTCAAGGGGATATTTGTGTTCAGCGTCATTTTCAAAGGGGCCGGATAGTTTACGTCCTGCAGGCACGGAGGAGTCAGGAGGCTCAGGCTGTGCAGGGACTGGCGGAGAGCAGAGGTGCCCATTCTGTTATGCTGTCAGAGGCAGAAGAGTCCGTATAACTTCATGGTTGTTGAAGATTCAAGAGGATCAGCTGATCCATGTCACCCTCGTGCCCAGTGTCATGCCCGTCAGCGAGGCTGAGGGCACAGCGGCTGGGAGACCCTCCTCTGCCAACCGTCGGAGTTCATTTTGAACTCCAGTTCTCTTTCTTGCTAGTTGGGCAGATTACTTAACCTTGGAGCGTCAGACACTTCATCTGTGAAATGCAGATAATAATAGCTACCACCTCCTAGGACTGTTGTTCGGAAGGTTGGATGAGAGGGTGCTGCTCAGGGCTGAGGATGGTGTCTAGCTCCTTGTCAGGCACACAAGCTATTCGATCTTACTGTAAAAAGAGAGCCCAAGTCAAGATCGTGCTTTTTACTGTTTTCTACTGAGTTTGAACAAACATTGGCCCCCTTTCCCCTCAGAGGAAAGGGGTGCGGGGATGCAGGGAGAGGAGAGTTGAGCAAGCTCCAAATGGTTGTATCATGCAGCTGACGACACTGATGCAGCTCAGGCAATTGCAGAGAAGTTCTGAGTGACACTTCTCCTACTCCCTAAAGGCTTAGTGCTGAAATAATGACATGGATGACAGGTTTTCATTTCCCCCCCAATTTTCCTGCCTACGTGGTTAATCTCGGGCCTCTATCTGCATGCCGCACCTGATGAAGCATACACGATTCTAACAAAGATGTTGAAAATGGATTACATTTTTGCATACAAGAATACTGTATTACAAATCCATCCAGAGACTGCAGCCCTGGTATACCCACTATAAAACATAAACAAAATCATTCTGTGTATTAGGATGTTTAAGAAGCTGCTTTCTGGCCCTCATAATTTGAGCTCTCGTGATATTTAGACAAATTCAAATAGAAAAAGAAACAAATGACTGCAGAAGCTATTAAACATTAAAATGAAATGTTGAATAGACAACATCATCTCGTTTTTCTGCAGTGATGTGGAAGCACTGATTCCTGCAGGACAGTGAGGTAACAGACTCATTGAGCCCTCTCTCAGCCCTGTCATCCCAGGCAGTGTCTGTTCAAGTGTTGTGTCTTAGTAGTTTCGCACAGTGCAGGAGATTTAACCGTAGATTCAACCTTCCTGCCTTTCTAAGAGGACACACCGGTATCCAAGCAGTGTTATAGATCCACCTCTGCACACAACCTCCTTGAACAGTCAAAGTAGTTGGAAATAATACTAAGCATTTCTCATGAGTACTGTGGTATCTATCAAATCTAGCTCCAAACAATTTACATGTTTCACAACCTCTGAGTTCTAAATTTTATTTCTGGCTTACTACTTGGCCCTGTCCCTTGGACACCACATGAAAATTTCAGTCTTGTTCCATAGGCGTTGTGATTTGCCTCTAAAAGCCTGATCTTTTTCATTTTAGTGAATGGTCTAACTGCCTCCCAGTTACAGAAATACATGCCAGTCATCCCTGATTTTGTCACTTTATTTATATCTATATCCAATCTATCAGAAGGTCTTGCTGTTTCTATTTCCAACATAGATAGTGTTCCTGGTTCTGCCCAAATCCCCTCTCACCGTGCGGTCACTGACAACACCCTTCACACTGGTGTTAGGCTGTCTGGTCCCTGCAATGGGCTTCTTCCACTTGACGGCTTCCTCAGGCGCCCCTTCAGTCCGTGAGAGACAGAGAGATCGAAGGGACCTTCCCCTCCACATTTTATATGAAAATCTTCCAACACAAAGCCAAGTTGAAATAATGTTACAGTATGCATTGACTATCTATCACCTAGATTCTGTTATTAGCATATTTGTCTATCCATATACCCCTCTATTTATTCATTAATTTGTCTTCCTTGTGGTACATTTCAAAGAAATCACAACAGTTGCTACTTTTCTTCCAAGGTCTCTGACATGCATATGATTAAATGGAATTCAATAATTTGTACAGACTTTTATTTTAGTGTAAAATTTAAACTTTCAATTTTTATTTGCAGAGTCTTGGAAGTGATATAACCCTTTTCAAGGATAGATTACTATCATTCCAAAACCTTCCCTTTTGTCCTTCCCGGGCAATCTTAGCCTTCATTCCCACCAGTGTCCTGAAGTTTTCCACTATAAATTAGCTTCTCCTGTTATACCATATCATGCAAATGGAATCATAGAAAATCCTGTTGCATGTATCAGTAAATTCATTCCTCTTTACTGCAGAGAATCAGTCCTTTATTTGGCTTGTTTGTTATTCTTCCAGTGATGGCTATGGGGGCTGGTTCCAGTTTGGGACTATTATAAATCAGTCTGCTGTGAACATTACTACATGGGCCTATTTAGGAACATGTTTCATTTGTTATTAGTAAATGCCTAGAAGTGGCTTTGCTGAGTAGGTGCATGTTTATTTTTAAAAGACTATGTCCTTTTAAAAAATATGCCTTATTTACAATTCCCCAAAATATAATATCAGCTGTAAAGGATCAGTCTCCTCTCCCTCCCTCCCTCCCTCCTTCCCTCCCTCTCTCTCTCTCTCTCTCTCTCTCTCTCTCTCTCTATCTCTCTCTCTCTGTCTCTGTCTCATCTTGTGTTATTCCCCTGAGCACACTTTATGTCCCATCCCACCTGCCAGATTGCTCTACTTACTTTGGTCTAACCGTTAATGAGCCAAGTCTGCCCCCAACTTGCTTATACACTTGTTATTACCCAGTGAGTTATTACCCAATTATTCTCTCAGCCTATTGCATGGCTGACTCACAGTTCAGGCGCTGGCTTGTGAGTTACATCTACAGAGAACACTGAAGCTTGGAGAGGTCAAATTACTTGAGCAATGTCACACACCTTGTGGAGCCAACTGGAGAATTCATGCACCAAGCAATTTGACTGCAAAACCCTATCCCTGGCTATCTTAAAGCACAAAATTTTTCAGTATTGTGTTTTGTGATTGCTTTTTGCCTTTTCTTGCTTAGCTATCTACACCGTCGTCTCTTTTTTCCACTGTACTTTTCTTAGTTTCTGAAACCATACCTATCTTTTTTTAAAGATAAAAGAATGAAAACATATTAACAAACAAATACACATAAACAAAACAACACCAAAAGCAATAGAAACAATACAGAATTTCAGACAAGGTGATAGGAAATTAACAACGGTTGTTGTATTACATATTGTTATCTTCAAATTGGTTACTTAGTTAAACAAATATAGGCAAATTGGTTACTTAGTTAAACAAATATAAAAAAAATTAAATATTAACTGTTCCTTTCCATAAAGCGATAGAAATTAGTAGTACAACTATCTTAGCTATCTTGTGTACACATCTATACATATTTTTCCCTTCTTTCTTTCTTTTCTCTTTTCCCTTATCCCAGTTGTTCTTTCCTTTTGAGCAGTTTATTTCCATTTCAAAGTATCTATTGTACTATTTGGGTTTAATGACTCTTTCAGGTTCTTACACTAAGCAGACAATATGGTGTTTACACATGTGGGTCTGATTTATTTCACTTAGAAGTATAGTCTCTAGTTGCATCCATTTACCTATAAAAGCCTCAAGTTTATCTTTCTTTATAGCTGAGTAATATTCTATTATATAAAAATACGACATCTTTTTATCCATTCATCAGTTGATGGGCATTTGGGTTGTTTCCACGACTTAGCTATAACAAAGTGTGCTGCTATAAACATGAGTGCACATATACAGCTGCGTATGAGGTTTTTAGTTCTTCTGGAAAAATACCCGAAAGGGAAATAGCTGGGTTGAATGGGACCTCTAATCCTAGCTTACTGCGGAATCTTCAGACAGATCTCTATCATATCTATCAAGGTTACCAGTACCAGTGACCACCTGACTGATAAATCCTACGAAATACTTTTCACATACCACCCGACTGCCTGTCTGCTGTATTTGAGACTGTAGACTATTTCCTTTTCTTGAGATGTTATATTTGGCTTATCTGAGCTTGTGCTCTCATGGCTGTCTCTGCTCCTGTGACCCTCCTTTTTGGTATCTGTGACAAGCTGGATTGTCAAGATACTTCATCCGATACCTGGCCCCGTCCTGTTTGGTTCTTTCCCTGCTCTTCCAGCCACCGTGAGGATAGCAGCGTTTCCACACCATGCCCTTAGCCACGATGTTCCTGCCTTGGAGCCTGCCGACCATGGACTGGACTCTGAAGCTATAAGCCAAATAAACATCTATTCCTTTAAGTTGTAGAGGTCAAGTATTTTTCTCAGTAATGGGAAAGCTGACCATACAGTCTTTTCTAGGGGTCCATTGTTCCATTGCTGACCCCTCAAATGCTGGTGTTGCAGGGTGCTTACCCTGCTCTGATTTTTGCTGTGATATGCGCATTGTTTCTGGGAGACCTCATCTATGTCTGTACCTTTAATCACTACCTATGTACTGACTGTTTCTTTAGCTTATTATGTATGAAGTCTCCCTACTTGTATAACCCAAGAGCACTGTGTTAGTCTCTAAAGATGTTCTTGGGGGAACTAGACCTGCCCATCCACAATCTCTGTTTCATCACCTTGTCCTCAAATCTGGGGATGGCCCTGTGCCCACTCTTGACCAATGGAATGCTGAAAAAGTGGAGCTGAGTACCAAGCTAGGTCATTGGAAGATTTGCACCTTCTGCCCAGTGCTCACAAAATGGTTACTTTGTGGATAATCTATTTTATAACCCATCTAGTCTGCTGTGAGAAGATCAAGCCACAGAGAGAAGCCACATGGAAGTGGACAAGCCCAGTGGAGCTTTGACCCAAGGGCCAGCATCACCTTGTTCGTGTGCATGATCAATCTTGGGTAATAAGACCAACTTAACATTCACAGGACTGTAGCCCAGCTCACATGTAACAGAAATTGTACAAAAGACTCCAAGAAAGAACTGCCCAGCTGGCTCCAGTCAACTCACAGGGCTATGAGAAATAATCATAACATTGTTCTAAATTACTAAATTTTGGAGGGATTTATTATGCAGCAATGGATAGCTGAGATAGGCACATCAGATATCACATTCCCAAAATGAGCACGTGGTCTTTCTTCTAAATCACGTCCTCCCCTTACATGTCCTGTTCCTGGTAGTGGGACACAGCTGCATACCCAACCTTAGAGAACGGAAGTCACCATTCTTTTCTTTTCTTCTGCGTTGGCTTCTACGCAGTCACCTTCCTCCTAGTTCTATACGT